ATTCCCAGAGATGTCTGCTCGGAGATAGACACGTGCTCGGGGAAAGCGAGCCCTGCCCGAACGACGATAGCTAGAGAGCCGGGAGTTGCATAATTTTGTAGAGTAACGTCCGGACTATCTACGCATGTAAAAAAGTTACTAACATTGTATGTTAGTTTTCTGAGAACGGAGCTGGTTTTCCAAAGATCAAGAGCTCAAATCTTGGCTATTGAACAGCGAAAATTGCAGGTCTCTATCTCATTCCTACCAAAAGTTATTCAAAAAGTGGCACCCGGCACTGTATTTTGGTATGGATAGTAGTTTTTTAAATAGAGTTTTCGGAAAACCTTTTAGAAAACCATGGAAAGCCGTTATTCTAGAGATCAAACGTAGGCCATTAATAAAAGTAGAATTTAGTCCAACAAACTGTATTTTTCTGAAAATCGATGTTTTGAATCAAATCGACGAGAAGGGAGGCTCAGGATTCATAAAACAACTGTGCTCATTGTTTTTCTTCTCTTTTATAGAAAATATCTAAATATTTCGCATAATGACAAGGACTTTATTCATCAAAAAAAAAAATTCTAACATCAGCTGGGAATAATCATTAATGTCATACATGTTACACAATATTATTTACGACTTATAGTAATAATCAACACCGCAACTCCATCATATAACTAGAAGACGTCAAGTTCTTTTTGGTATGTGTGAACAAAGAATGTATAAAAGTAACTGTGGACATAACTATCATCTATGTATTTTAGGCATGGAACAGCCTGTGACGATGTATGCTCTTGTCGCCGATCCTGAACGACATAAGTCAGTTATAAACCATCTACCACCTTCTCAATTGAAAGAAGCACGAACCCAACCAGTAACAATGTATACCCTTGATACTTATCATCCGGTTGCTCCACAGCTACAGAAATCCGAGCCTCGTATCTTCTATATTGAGGGGAATGAGAAACCATTAGATGAATACCCACATCCAAAACCGATACCTGAGCTTTATACTATAATTGGAAATCCAACAAAAGTTGACGTTCAGAGTCCGATACCATATCCCGATAAAACACCAGTTGTAAATAATATCGAGCCTTTCTTGTATCCGCTCGTGGGAAAATCTATATCGCCGATTATTGCTCAGGAAACACAACCAACGGTCTCGAAAGATATTGAACCCACGCTGTACTCCATTATGGGCATACCTCTACAGCAAACTACGCATGACGTACCAGTAGTGTTAAGGCAGAAGGAGCCAGTTTTGTACAGTATTAGCGGTCATTCTAATGAAATTCCAGAAACAACGGCACAGGATATAGGGCCGACGTTATTCTCGGTTGTAAGCAATCCTTCGTTAACAAAAACAACGGCACCTGTTGAACAGCCAGCTCACTCCAACGAATCCGTTCTTTATTCGATCATTGGACAACCTCGCTATTCATACAATATCAAAGACAACAATTCTAAGCATGTGCCACATGTATCAACTGAAGTTATATCAGATAAAAGTACTACCCTCTACTCAATCGTCGGTGCTCATTCTTTAACTCATTCGTCACCACCACCATTGAAACTGTTTGAACCGGAAAAAGAAAGCTTATCGCCAACGTTTTACAGTACAATTGGTAGACCTCAACAAACTAGTCCAATAATACACTCAAAAAGTCATTTGAATGATAAACAAAGTCCCGTACTTTATTCCATAGCGGGTCACACTGAAACACCAATACAAATTGAAAGATATGTCAAAGAACCAGAAACGCAAGAGCATAATCATAGTCATCATTACCAGCGTGAGCCAACGCAAGTAAATTTACCTCCTCTTACCTACGCCATAGTTGGCGAGGCTAAAATGCCTGTGGCCACCGTTAGAAATCATCATTTAAAAGAAAATATTTCTATGTATACAATTGTGGGATCTCACCAAAAGCCTCTGCTAGAAAATTTCAATACTATTCCACTGACAAGAAAACAACAGTCTGTACTTCAACCACATATTCTCGTCGAAAATAAAAATCCAATACTTTATAGAGTAAGTGTTTTGTTTATTACATCTTGTTAGCAGCAGGTGATTATCACCTTAATCCACCATTTTTATATACACATTTTAGATTGTTGGACAGCCTAAGGTACCGATGTCTGTTCCACCAAAACCTGTAAAACAAACAAGACCCACTGGAGAAAGAGCAAGGTCTGATCCACGAAATACAACACTGCCGTCGAGACGATATGCGAGTGTTGAAACGAAGCCATTATATAAGCATCAATCTGTTCAAAACTTTCAACGTATAGATGAGCCTAAAGAAATCGTTTCCTATTCTGTTACTGGTCATAACCTTCCGAAAGGTCATAAGAAAGGTGTTTTCAATGTTTCGTAATATCTACTTCTTTTTACGTTTTAGAACCAGTCCGAAAAGTAGAAAAGATAATTATTCCATATGAAATATACGAAAAATCCCGACAACGGAACCCTGTTATTCAACGCCATGTGATAGAAAAGCGTAAGGAACCACCAACTACAGTCGTATATAACGAACCAAAACCCAGAGAAGAAAAAATGCCAATATACGAACATCATACACAAAATGTATTGTATCCAAGAGACCGAAATTATGTAATTCAGAGGTTGCCAGAACAAAATTTATCGCTGCCGAGAGTTATACAGAGACCAACGAGAAGAACCGACCATGGATACGTTCGTCAAAGGAGACCCAGACCAATTGTAAATATAATTGCGAACAAAAACATTCATGAATTTAGTAGTATAGACTATTTATTTTCATTTTATCTCTTTAGGAACGTTTTCCAATCGATACTCGACGACCATGGAATTATGTGTCTGGTATACGGGATGATGATAGCAATAGTGGAACAATCAATCATAAAAAACCTCGTTATGATCGTGTATCCCGACCACGTACACCGTGGTTGCCAGTCTGGCTTTAAATTATTGACTGAAACTGTTGATAGATGTTTAATTTTATGCGTTTTATATACGCATCTATATTTGTATCTTTAAGATACAAATATCTATAATATAGAGAAATATACATTTGTTTTTCTTTCTAAATCTTCTCTCTATTAGTCATCGGTGACTGTAAGATAAAAAAAATTTATTTTTGATACTATGTGTAGAATTCAGACGGTTCGCAAACATAATAGATGTTATCTCCTCCTCTGTATAACAGTCAACTATTTTTGAAACTTTTGCTAGGATACCAGCAGTTGAATTTTTAAATTAATATACATTAAGTCATATTTGTTCGTTCTGAAGCGTAAAACCATAAGCATTCTCATTCTGACAATATTTTTCCGATTATTAAGTATTTTGCATTATCCTCGCTAAGTAATATATAAATATTGTAGATATTGAGCTGTTATAAACTCTATACAATGTTTCTTACCGAGACCATATACCATACGCCAAATTGATCATTTTCAAAACTGACATTTTATTTTATAAACGAAAAAAATCTTTGTTAGTGAAAAAGGATTGACAGATAATTAATGTAAAAATAACTAGATAAACTTTCTTTTATATCCCACATTGATCTATATACCATTTCGTACTTCACTTAGAAGGAGAAAAGAATTGTTTAAATTCTAAAACATAAAAATCAAGATGTAGTGGTAGTTAAGTAGGTTTTAGAGACAGCATGGCTTGACAGTTATGTTGTTCGTCACGTACTTCAATGGTACTGTGTTCAAACCTCGGTACTAGCAAAGTTATTTAATAATCTTGGGCAAATTATTTATGTCTTAGTGCTTCAGTTCACTCGTCTGACAGCATACTCACTACACCTGGCGTACAATACAGCTTCTCCGGCTAGTCCTCGTGGCTTTTCGGAAAGCTAATACGTGGTAATTGGGTGTAAGAACTCTGCTTCAGGCTAACCATCTGGCCAGAGCTGCAGTTGATGACTAGTAACGAGATGGGTGACCATTTCAAAAGCTTGTCAATTGCAAGGAAGATATCGGACTATTGAAACTATCACGGCAGCACCCTACACCGATGTTCTTCCTTCTTCCTAAGTGGTTTTCACTTCGTACTAGGTATTTATAAATTATACGAACATCCACTAACAGTTCTGAATTAAAATGTGATAGAATCAATAGATAGAGTTCGTCGAGTTGATTATATTAATACCAAATAATATTTTCAAACGGATACTTAACAATGACTACTAACAGTTAGAACCGCGTCACTAATAGCTATCAACACTGAAAAAGACATCAGCACCTCTTTCACTTTTTAATTTAGTAAATATAAACGTAATCCAACGCTGCGAGTCGAGCAGCATGTAGCTCATGCCTTTTCTGGTTATTAGTGATGAGGTTCTGACTGTTAGTCGTCATTGTTAAGTATCCATCTGAAAATATTATTCGATATTAATATAATGAACTCGACTAACTCTATCTATTGATTGTATCAGATTTTAATTCAGAACTGTTAGTGGGCATTAGTGTATAGTTAATATTTGTTTCAAAGTATAGATTATCCATAGTCTTAGAGTTTCAAAAATACAAAACTACTCTCTTTAATTGTCAATTTTTTTATAAAAGCTTCTAACATGAATGAGAATATACTATTCATAACATCAGCAAACATCTTACCATCAAAACTAATTGTTCCATTCCTATCTAGATCGAGTCTTGATAATATTGCTTGAATTTCTCTTTCAATCAGCACGGGGCTCATGCCTAACATTTCTTGCATTGGTAAATAATATTTTCTCAATTCTTCTACAGTAATATTTCCATCATTATCTTTATCAAGTTTTTTAAATTCTTTTTTTAATTGTTCTTCAGTTAAACTCATTTTTATTAAATTTGATTGAGAATATAACTTGTGTTTTTTATTTCGTTAATGGTTTCTATACTTGATCAAACTATTATTGATTATAAGTTATTTATATATATTTCTACCCTTACCTACGGTTTACACGCACCATTTATTTTTGTTTTTGTCATGATTGGTTAATTCTCTTAATTCTAACAGTAATCATACTACTAAGTAAGAAAAAATTAGTAGTGAATAGTTTGATTCTCTCGAAAATGATGTAGATTAATACGTCACTAACCCACTCTTTTTAAGTCAACTAAGTAGGACAAAAATAACTAGCTTTGTAAATTATTAAGAAGAAATAGAAAAAAAATCTAAATTCTCTTTGATTACAAGAAACGACCCATCTATTGACTTTATGATTGCTGTTAAGATAGCTTACTCTGTTTTCTGTTCAACAATATATTGATGATATGTATCATATGTGTTACAAGTTAAGATAAGATTATCTACAGTTAATTATTCAGTTTAATCAATTACTTATTATTGTCTCTATAAAACATTTATTTCAATTATATACAACAATAAAATACAATTTAAGCCATAAACAATATAAAATAAAAATAGAATAAACAATTAAAAATCGATAATATGACGTCCAATTTCCCAACAATTAATTTGTGCTAAAAATTCTTTTTGAAATTGTCCTCTAGTCTTAAATATTTCCTTCATTTTCTCTGTATTTTGAATTAATTCTTTATCATTAATGATTCTCATTTTCATACCAGGAACACTTGTACTAGAATAAAAATGAAAAAGATTGTAATTACTAAAAGATAAATCCGTCTATTTAAAAAAAGAGATTATTTACATTGTCATTTCAGCATATTGTATTAATAATCGATGTAATGGTTTATTCTTATATCGAATCTAAATAAAATATTTAAAAATATTTTCTAAGTAAATGAATGAAAACGTAATTTTTATTCGTCCATAAGACATCATTACTTGTTCATAAATATAGGATAATTTTATATTTCCATTTTTTAGTATTTTTGTTTGATCAAAAAAGAAATCTTCAAATGTTGTATATGAACGTCCAGTTGATGTTGTTATTCGACTATTATGATTTAATGTTCCATAATAGATCATTTTCTATATAAAAATAAAGATATCCATTACAAAAATTGACAATAGAGATGTATAAAACTTTTGTTACATCATGAGTTAATCGAAATACGTTCTCCTTCGCTTGTAATAAACCATGTTTCATTAGAGTAGAAATCAACGGTATCGCTCCACGTTCATAATATTGCTAAAATGAAGAGAAAAAAAAAGAAAGAACAAAGAATGAAATTTATTTCCATATAAGAAATCTATGCTATTTTATTCACTTTAACAAGTAAAGCTGCTTTTGCAGCATAGACTTCTTCCATTGTTGACATTGAACGATTAATAATAACAATTTCTTTTCGTTCAATCATTTTTGATAATGAAAATGAATCGTCGGGTATACCATCGTACATGATAAATGATGAGGATGTTGGCAATGTTTGAACAACATCTTCGGAGTCAGTTGCAATTGCTTGTGTCCACCAATCTTGTACAGAATTTATAATTCGATCTTTTTGATCTTCAATATCTTTTGCTGTTCCTGTTAATGTTGATGTGGATAATTTTGTTTCAGAATCTGTGCTGTTGACTAATGATGATGATGAATATGACTAAAAGTGAGAAAGAAATAGTTATACAAAGTTATAAATGTTTTTAAATTTAGTTATATGAGTTATACTTACACCATTATCAATTGTTACTAATTTTTTTGTTTTTTTACTTGAGGATGTTGATTGGGTCGAAATAAGAGAAGATAATACTTGTGAATGATTATGATTATTTTCAATTGATTCCGTTATAGTTTTTGAACTAGAACTCGATCTCGTTTTTGGTGGATCATAAAAAAAAAGAGTTTGTGATAATAACGATGCATTGACATCGTTCTAGAGTCGAAAGAAAAATTTTACTAGTACATGACAGAAGAAAAAATATGATACAATACATACAGTAGAAAATTCTCGAAATGGAACTCGTTGAGATGATTCCGACATCAGATTAATTTTTTAGTACTCTAAAAGAATGAAAATAATGCGACTTTTGGAATGAAAGACAACGTGATAATTAGTCAATTTAGATTTTCACATACGGTAGAAAATATCTAATTTTATAGTAGAGACTTTATCCAAATAAACTATGATGACAGTTTAGAGCACCCGTATTAGGAGCTTTATACAGATTATGTAGTATAAATTGGTTGGTTTCTTTTTAGTGAACAGGCTATATAATTTCAAAACAATTTCTCAGTTTATCAAATCAAATTTTCTAAAATAGGATAAGTTTATTTGTACATGACAAAATCAAGCTGCTGCTTATTGTTACGTTCAAGTTTCGCACAATATAAACAAAAATTATGCCTTCTTTTCTATTTTACAAAAGTTCATGAGTGAAAAGCAATTTAGAAGTCCAACGTGGTGACTTCGCTCTTTCAAATAAAAGTAGAAATTTTGTATGCCATATGTAAAATTGCTTGTAGTACATCTTATAATCTTATCATTGTTCATAACATAATGTATAGGATAATAAAATTTCTTACCTCTGACTTTTTGCTCAAACGGCGATTTTTTCTTTTTTTTTCTATTCAAAATATAAGCGAAAAAACTTTATACAAAATACATAATCAAAAGTCGAATATTGCTTTCTATAAATACTAAAAAATTAGAACGATAGTCCTATGGGATAAAAAAAAAGTACATTAACAGGAAATTAAACGGATAAGTCTTTTATTGCAATAAATCACTGGAATTGCATGAAAAAATGATTGTGTAAACTAAAATATCTGAAAAATATGAGATCGATTTAGTGGTTATTGAGAATTTTCAATCTCTTGTAAAAGTCGTCCATGTGTCCAAACACTTGTTGGAGCAAAATAAAATTGCCAAGCACTTTGTTTCGACATGCCCAATAGACGCAATGCATTCAATTCCGAATGTGTGCAGCCACCAATGAAAACGACAAGTATAGTCAGAGGAGAATTAGAAGACGTTGCCGTTTGCCTACTCGATGATGGTGATGTATTGCATGAGTAGAGATCCTCATAACCAACATAACCACGTTGAGCTACATCTTGTTGTAATAGTGCTAATTTATCAATACTTGTTAAACCTTCTTCAATTAAACGACATGATAATGGTACATACGTTGAACCAAATATCTCGGCCTAAAAGACAAAAAGAGTAACGAACACTTAAGTTGTGGATGTCTAAGATAAGACTTCAATTCTATTTTCTAAAAGTTAAGATAAGGAAAATATCAATAAATATTGGATAATCATTAAAATGCATAGTCATACCATATCTGGTTTTGGTGTTGGTTTGACTTGTTGATTAACATCCGGTGTCAAATTGAGACGTTTGCGCATATATTGAAAAAAACCTTTTGAAGTTGATGTTTTTTCAGTAAAATTTTGTGCTACGTGTTTTGCCATTGATTTTATATCTTCTCTAATTCCTGGCATTTTTGACGTAGGTACTTGCGTTGGATAATCAATAGTTCGTTTAACATGTAATAAATTTAAACGTTCAAGTTTATAAAGTAATGGTATATTTTCATAACCATACGAATGAAAAAAACTTCGGCATAGAACCTCGTATGTTTCACGAGGTAAACCATTATTAGCTGCCGATAATAAACAAAGTAGCTGTAATGGTCTATATTTATTTTGTTCACGACAAATCATTGTATGAATATAGGAAACAGTTTCATCAAACTGTTCATTATGTAATATATCTGATTCTATTTCCAATTGTAATTTAAAATCATCTGCTGTTTTTTTCTTTAATACATCACTACTAATATCCATATGTCTTTTTAATAATTTATTAGCTGAAACATAATCTTTAATATCTGTTTGAACCATTCGTCTTAAATCACTGACATCAGCATCTTCAAATTTTCCTTTAAAATCATTTCGTAAGGAATTTTGCTTTGCCATAGATGCTTTAATTTGTTGAAATACTTTGGTAAAATGCATTGAACGTATTCCACCAAATATTACATCATCTTTACTTGTCAATGATACTTTCATTATCGGATTTTGTTGTTTTGATGCATCATTGCTATTGTTAGCTCCCAGAGAATCATCATTTGTCAAAATTTTTGTTGGTATTGGTAAAATACCAGCTTCAATACCAAAATGTTCGTCTAATAAACCTTCATAACACATTTGCGAACAAAATGGAGTAACTAAATCGAGAGTCCGATCAAATAGAATAACAGTTTGAATATGTTTTCGTCCAAATACCGATATATCTTGGTCATTGATCTTACTAAACAGAATGAACTCATCAAATGAGAAGAATTTTGGACCTATAACCGAATTTTGGACCCTGCAAGCTAGATCTAAGATCTAAGTTAATCTGAAACAAACCTTATGGCTCTCTCCAAATGTCTTGCAACTTGACTGGCTAATTTTCCCAGTGCTAGTGTTCGAGTAAATCGTCCAAATGATTGTTGAAAATTGACTAGAGATGATGCTAATGTCGATAGCCAATCGGATGATTGATCCAAATAAACGCTGAGATAAAGATGTGGATATTCCATCGAAAATAGATCATAATCGACTGGTACCTAAAACAGAAAATCTATTGATTGCTTATACTACAACATGAATTATTTCTCCGAAGCGTACCATATCGAATGTTGGTAATTCATGTAATGAACAACGTCCCCAGAGTCCTTCTACAATGGCAAAGTTTTAATATTGATAAAACGCTTTTATTTTTCGACATTTATTTATACGAACCTTGTTCAAGTAAAATTTCGAATGAATATAATTTTCTTGGAATGCAAACAAGATGAACATTTCGAATATTTACTTTTCGTATTCTTTTAGCTAATGCTAAAAATCTCACCATATTTGGTCTCAATAAATAGACACGTTTTCGATTTAAATTAACATTTGGTTCTGCATCAAGTTTATACATTTTTTCTACACCATGACTAAAAATATCGGTTGGAGCCGATATTCGATTAATAACAGGAAATAAATCTTCATCAATAAACAGTTCTTTTTGTCCTGAAACTGAATCAAGTAAACGAAAAAAATCTTCTCGTGCATTACTCAGCAACTGATCAGCAATTTCCCATTTCAACAAATCAGACATGATCACAATCTAAAAGTTATGAAAAGAAAAAAAATGAGCTATAAAAACTCCAGCAGTGCAACATGTTTTTGACATATCACACAAAGATTCAGTTAGTAATAAAATGGTGGTGAATTCTTATCATTCAAATATTCGAATCAAATATTAGTAATATATATCATTTTAATACATTGATCGTATATTAGTAAAACAAGCATGCTAGTTAAATCAAGTGCGCTGACAGTTTAAGATTAATATCAACATTCCTGTAAATATCATCTGTGACTGAGACAGAACTCTCTCATTCCCTCTTAGTAGTCTGATTTTCAGTCTAACTATCATCTTATTTTCGTGTAATTAATAAGTACATTTAACATCTCACACCAATAGACCAGCATTGACACTGTTTGTGGACATTAACTCAGCATATGAAAATGTCAGAATTTACACACATTGCAATAACGACTGTGGTCAACAACACTATATAAGTGAATTGAAGTACTTTTTAACTTACTATTATTCGATGAATTAGGGAAATTTATGAACGTGATGTACTACACTAATCGTGGTTTGACTTACACAATATCACTGGCTGTAAATTCAACAAAATATTTATCTATGCATAGACATCTATGGTGAATACTCTGTGTTTATTTTTTTTCTATCTCCGACTCTAGGAATTAGCTTCTTTCTAGCCAGGAATCAAACAGCAAATAATCAACTCTATTTACTTTTTCATGAGAAACCAGCGATCGAATATGCAAGAATACGGTTTCTAAATAGATGTTTTTTTACAAACAGGCAATGAACCGTATCAAAACCTAGCAGACGAAATAGATCATTCACATCATGTCAATTAACACTATAAAGATCATCCACTCGTATCTCATTATTTGAAATATCTATCGATACAGTAAAAGCACATTAACTTAACCAACTAACTTTTTAACATGTTTTCTCACAATTAATCAGTTAAAAACAGATTTTTCGGCTCATTTAGGTTAGTTATAATCTATGTCACTGTTTAATTTGTATTAACCAAGAAAAAAAATATCCTAGTATCGTAATGAATTTTTTTCAATATAATAAATGGTTTTATGAGTATAAAAATATGACAATAGCACAAATACAACAAATAGTTTCCTCTACGAACAAATGGAACGAAAACATGTTTAGAAATTGACGAATCGACTCTTGATGTTGAACTTAAGAGTAAACAGAAAATAGATGAAGAATATAAGAAAAAACAAAAAAGTGATTTTGTCAATCATATTTACATCAGTAGCAAAGAAAACAATCTCCTGAGTGAACATTCAATACCAATGAAAATTCGACCAGATAAGATGAATGATTGAAAGTTAACAACCATCTGGTTTTGTTGGAAATGAAATGGTCATTAGTGGACAAGGTGTTAAATTGATAGCATGAGACGGTAATTTGTATATCGATGACAATGGAGGTGGATTGCAAGAGACAGGTCGTTTAGATAAAAATTCGTCGAGATTAGGACCATTTCGTCCAATAGGATCTGTCGCCGGCATAAAATATTCACCAACAAACATAAACGGTAGTACTCTAAAACAACCAAAATATAATCCCAAAACAATTGTTTTCTTATTCAATCAGAAAAACCATGATATTTATATCTCATGTGTTATAGAAAAACGCACTTATTTGCAATAATTGACATGAAATTTTTTTCACACTGTAGATCTCGGAAACAATCATTGCTGACAACTATACCATCATTATCAGCAGCATATTGCAAAATAAATCTAAAAATTATCATAAATCTCTTAATTTTTAGTTGATACTTTCATTTCTTCATTAGACTTACCGATCATCATAATTTGTTAGACGACGATCATTCAAATACCGAGACGGTGTAAACGCAAGAAGATTGTTTTGAATTAAATCATCACGGATTTGTTTTTCAACAGATGCTTCCAAAAATGTTATTTTATTTGAAATATGATTACGAAGATAATTGGGTAAAAATGCTACAATCTGTTGGTGACCACGTTTTTGAAAATATTGAATCGCATTTCTTAAACGTGTCCATGAAAATATTCGTGAATTATCATTTGAACTATTAAAAATAGAAAAATGAACATGAATATCGTTTTTCGTTACAATAACTAAAATTGTGTACTTGCGTGCGACATTTTGTCCGTCGATAGCAATACATCGTAGACTATCGGACGAAGTGGAAAGAGATTGATTACATGCTAAAAGTGTATTATTCATTGTCTTTCTAAAACAACAAAAATTAAGATAAGTAGAATATTATTGAATTTGTTTTTTACTTACAGAGATGGACCTGATCTTTGATGAGGAATAATCATTTCTATAATTTCAATATGATCAGATTCCGTATCTGAACTATCCGAGAGTACCACTGTTTCATTCGACATGGATGCTTTTAAATTAGCTAGGAAACAGAAAGAAACTAGTGTTGATACAGTAATTAATAATCAGCTTTTCTTTCGTATAATTGTCGAATTAATATTCACGTTTTCTCTTCAAGAACGATCGTCTCAAAAGATATATACGTTTCTTTTCTCTTCACACACTTAGTAGACAACTTACATCCAGCATTCATATTGTCTTCTAATGGTGTCATTATTGTTGACTTAGCCTAAATGAAATAATCGATATATTTCTTCTTCTTTACTTTATATACTCGTATCTTTCGACATAAACGTACATCGCAAATCATATTATCTGCCATTGCCGTATCAGTTTGTTCATTATTATCGTTTGATTCTAATAAAACGCGCAAAATCGATGCATTGACATCTTTTTTATATGTTGAATAATCCGGAAGTTGTTCATCATCTGTCACGATAATCTCTAATTCTCCTTCTCCCACTGTTTCTTTATTATCACTAATTTTTGTTGCTTTTAAACATTCAATTGTGTTATTCAAATTGATATTACTATCACTACATCCGTCATTACTTAAATATTGTTTTTTTAAACTCAATAGTTCATTAAAACAAGCCTGAACATTAACCGAATTACCACACATAATCAATCGATGTCGATCCAATTCTATATCAATTAAAACTTTCGATCTTAAACAAATATTATCCAAATAAGATTGATCTGTAAATATTTTTGAAAATGTTTCACCATAAATAAAATATTGATCTCGTTCATAATTGAATAGCGCATTAAAATAAGTCTAAATGAATGAAGACAAATTATTCATCATTCATTTTTTATTGATGATTCGACCTTACATGTAATAACGAATGTTTGTTTTTACTTCCAACAAAATAAATGATAACTGTGTTCGGATTCCAAACTAAAATAATATCAAGAGAATTGAGTGAAAATAATTAAAATAGAAAATCTACTTAAAACGTACAAGTAACAACGCGAACATCGCAAATGCGCTCGATTAATTTTAACAAATTTTGCATTTTTTTTCCTTGATGTTTAACAATCGTTTTTTCAAACAACAAATATTCATTAACATTGATATCGGTGTCTACAAATGATTAAAAAATAATAATCAGTTAGTTGAACAATCATTATAAATCCGTTTATGTGGCTAACCTGGAGTAACAGCATCAAATAAACGAATTTCAATATCGATCTCTTTTAACAATTGTGGCTTCTAAAATTAAATAATGCAGCTAAAGAGTAACAGTAAATGTATTCAAATATTAATTCACTCACAATAAATGGCACGAATAGACAATTTTGTTTTCGCTTATTCAGTTGTGAAAAGAATGAAATAACACACGAGCGTTTTGCATCTCTGTTTGATTTGCCATATCCGATAGCTTGAATTGTTGGAAATATTGCTAGTAAGGTTAGCTAAATGATAAACAGCTAGCTATATTGGTTAATTCATATACCACAAAAGGATCTGGATTCCGAGTGTTAAATAGCTCAATACCAGTGAGATCATTCTAGTTCAATGTATTGTGAAGAGTAAAGTTAGTGGTACGTACTACACAACGACGTTGATCTTCTTCTTCGCCAAAAACATATGATGGTTGTGCTCGAAGAGAATTACACCAGCATCCGAATTGTTCCAGAACATTAATCGTAGACTATAGCATATAAGCATTTTTATTATAAAATCAAAAGAACTATAGATGCTTACCGTATGTGATAATGCCTCAAACAGGATCAGGTCGTACACATTTTAGTGCGCAGTTATTTTCGAACTGATAGACTAACGAGGGAAGTCCAACTCCAATTTCAGTGATCTATTAGTCGATCAATAGAGACTCCAAAAGGATTTGTGCTATTATTGTTTCTTTCAAAAGTTATAGAACTTTTTGTTTTTTTTCACACGAAAACATAGAAAAATTAATAATTTTATAACTTCCTCCAATGGAGGAGCTATGAGCTCAAATTTTTTTATGGGTCTTCTATATGTTCTATATGAGACTTTTGAGCTTTCCAAAGGTTTGCCCTTGGATACGCTAACAATGAAAGGGCTATAAAACTGTTCATTTTTTACAAAAATTGAAGCTTCCAGAACCGAGAGAGTTTCGGCTTGTGCACACGCTCAAATAATCAGAACTGTATGGTTTTGGTGTTTTGTAACGCCGATTTCTAAGGAGATCTCTGTAGATCCTATAGTCCATGATCAGCTTGAAGCCAGTTTTTTTGTTTTTATAATTGATATAAGACTTTAAAACCATCTCAGTTCCGAAAGTTTCAAGAATTTTGCATAATGAAGAGTAACAGCTTAAATCCTTCTATGGTTTTTACTAGCAAACTGTCCTCTATCGATCGACTAATAAATCATTGAAATCGAAGTTGGACACCTGAAGAGGTTCCCTCGTAAGTATTCAAAACTCTGAGGTGGTACAGATGCTTCAGACAGCTAGGTGAAGAGAGATGTTGTTCAAAAGAATGTTCCTATGCAATCTGTTTTATAATAGATATTTGTGCAATAAGGTTAAAATGTTTAGTCTGCTTTTACCAACAGACAACGGAATTATATTTGTTGTGTAAAATACCTGTTCATATGTTTGTTTTGTTGTGTATCTTTGCGGTCGACGCTTATCATTTAATTGCTCTTGTTTCTTGCGAGCGCCACGACCTGGTCTTATTTTACTACGTAACTCTCTATTATTCATTGCATCTGATAAACAAGCGATTTTAACTGTTAAATGTGAGTACAAAAACACTTAAGGAAATAAAAGAATAACATAATCTGGAAAAAACACGGATAACTGTACAAAGTTTTCTAGCTTTCCGAAAAATGCTATACAAAAGTATCACGGAAAAGTATCTTTCTTCTTCTAGAAAATCGTTAGAACGATGAGAGTTACTCTGAGCATATTGCCAAAGAAACTAAGATAAATTTTCAAAATTCCAGTTTGATTGCAATCTTGTAAAAGAGAAGGGCAATGAATTATTTTTCAATTCCACAATAGTAATTGAATGTAAATGTTAAATGAATGAATTTATTCACATAAAGTGAGAGATCACCAAAGGTCCCCCATTTGAAACGCGATAATTCCCGCCAAACAATAAACAAATAAAACACAAGATACTAACCGAGAAAAAAGAAAAATTATATAAAAACGAATAAAAAGAAAACAAATAAATAGATAAATGAGAAAGCTAGAAATACTAGTATACAGTTGACTTTTAACACTAAGGAAATAGGAATTTAGAAAGAGCTTTTTTCCGATCGATTCAGGAAGACTATATCATTCGGCGACTGTGGACCGAAGTATTGTTTGAGAAGAGAAATCATTAACAGAAGGAATACGAACATACTTAGAATGATGATAGCGCAATGAAGAATAGTGAGGATGTTGAATCGCATAGAAAATAGAGAGAGGGCTAAGATGGTGATAAATTTTAAAAAATTGAACAAGCTTAAAATATTTGCCGTGAAGAGAAAGATTTGCAAGGGAGAGTTGAACCAACAAGAGAAGAAATAGCACTAGTCAAATGTATGAGAAATAACACGAGCAGCATGTTCAAAAGAGACCGAGAAAACGAACTATCATAAAGAGCACAGAAATAGTAAAATTTTGGAAGAACAGAAGACAAATAAATTCGACGCCTTAGTTCTGATAAAGCTAATCCAAAGACACGAGTCAATAGTTCCTGCTTTCGCAGAGAAGCAATAGCCATATCTCTGGCATGTTCATACTACTGCAGGTCATGTGAAACAAGAACACCGAGACAACGAACAGAAAAAACAACAAAAAGAAGGGTGTTATTTAGATATAATCGCTTATAAACAAGCAGAAAAAAGTTGACAGAGAAGGGACGCTAAGAACATTTGAAGACAAAAGATTAGTAGAAAAATTAATTTGAATAGGAAATCTTAAACTTGAGAAAAGTCGTGCGGATTAAAAGAGAGGAGTACAACTAAAAAAGTATCATAGCAAACAGACATATTTCACAAGTAGGAGGAACAGAAATAGGAAGATCGTTAATGAAAATAATAAATAAAGGAGGCTCAAACATACTACCTTGTAGTACACCAGAAGAAACTGGAGAGACAGAAGAGTTAAAACCATTTATACGCACACGCTGTGAACGGTTGGAGGGATAAGAGGAGTGAAGAAAAAGTAAACAACCACTCATACCATAATAAGATAGTTTTTCCAACAGAAAATAATAGGAAACAGTCAAAAGCTTTAGAAATAAAAGAACACACCGCCATGCTTTTTACTAGCATACCAAAAGTTCCAGACGGTTAGAGATAAAGATAACAAAGCGTCGAGGGTAGAATATTTAGGACGAAAACGAAACTTTTTTAAATTTTTTGTTTATTTACAAAAAAGGAATACTTAGATGAGAAAACAGAAAATTAAACGTTCAAACATTTTAGAAACAACAGGAAAAAGACAGACAGGACAACAGTTACAGACATCGATGAAAGCACCTTTTTTGGGAATAGGTATAACAAATACAATTTTCCATAAAGTAGGAAGATTGTCAGAAGATAGACACAAATGAAAAATAAAATGAAACTGAACTGAAAAAATGCCAGCACAAGAAGACAGAAAGGAAGAGGAAATTAGTATTTCTCATAAGAAAGTGTATCCGTTCGAATAAAGTATGCAGTACCTTAATTGTACACACTGTTTTACACAGTGTGACAAAAACAGAGCGTACAGTGTCCACTCTGAATTTCTAGTTTACACTTTATGGTTTTTGTCAGTTTATGTGGAAGCTATATCGTTTCAACATGAGTCATTATAGTATACTTTGTTTTGAAAAACAGAGTGTACAGTGGGTTCCGAAACAGAATGTACTAGTACATTGTGACTCTGATTCTCATTCAAAACACTACGAAATTCCATCAATACCAATCCTAGACTTGTTATCCAAGTTCACGAGTAAACATACATAGTCTCGAACAGAGAAGTCAAGTCGACCTATCGTTGGCAAGTCTAAAGCGGTAGATGGTGGAATTTGTCAATGAAGAAAAGCGTAGAAAGATAGAAAATTCGAGCTGAAGAGTTCGGCTTTATTCAGATCTGTGTGAACAGATTTAGAAACATACAGTGAGGGAGAATGGAGTAGAAAAGAAGACAGTTGTTTGGTGTTTGTTTCCCACTGGGCGTCAATTTTTATCTCAAAGATAGCCCAGTGCCCCAAAATATTAAGTAAATGTCATGCTAAAGATGTGACAATATTACGTTTTTTACCGTAACATTTCAGGACAGTACTGTGCTATCGAATTTCAAAAAAAAACGGAACGACACCTGTGATTTGTCAAGAGTGGAATCATCGATTCGTCACAATTCAGAGCAATTAAAATCCTTCAGATGTCACTGCTAAAAACCTATCGTTTATAAAACAGCTCGCCGGATTGTGTCAGAAAAATATTCCATTCTCTTGAAATAGAGAAATACCAGCTATATATTCAGTTTTTCATGAATGTGAGAGTGAGGATGGGAAATGATAAAAAATGAGTCTACACCTAAATCTAAAATTTGATCCGCAGCGAGTTTTGAATTTCGCTTCCGTTCATTCCCTACACGTACTTTGGGTCAGAACTCTGAAAATAGCTGTAATTCGGCGGAGTATTTTCCACTTATTTCTGCACAGAAAACGAAATTCAAAAATCGCGGCGGGCCAAACTTTAGATAAATGACTTAGCTTTAAAATTAAAAAAAACGAAGATTTTACGATGAATTGTCTAGGAGGAGATACAATCCTGCTCTGCTAAAAGCTCATGGCGCCAAAATCGCCTCACGATTAACCGCCGATCTTTTTTGCTCGTTGTCACAAAATACAGCAGAAAATCGCGATTAATCACAATTTTACGTCAACATCGCGATAAATCGACAAAAGTTAGGCGATTTTGACGCCATGGACATGTTCTGAGAAAAGCGCTAGACAACCCAGGTCAAAAATCAGATCAAGATCTTACACGGTCTTATAAAATCTTATGGCAACGGATTCATCTTATAAAATTAGACAAGAATCTTACGAAATCTGATGAAATCTTACTATAAGATCTTACATCAAGAATCAGTTTCTATGTTTCTTATAGAATCTTACAAATTCTTATACGAATCTTACGAAATTAGACGGAATCGTACAAGAATCTTATATGATCTTACGACAAGATTCTTTGATCTTGGTAGAAAACCTAATGAATATCTGGCAGAAATATCAGGTATCACAATCACGACAAAGGACACTGAGTAAACATCTTCACTACTGAAAATGGCGCTATTTTATTCACTAGAAAAATTGCTAAAAATTGACTGAAAACTGAGGTGGCTGACGAAAAATTTCTCAAAATCTTATACAAAACTAATTGTATTGTGGAAAGCAACACATATTCTGAAAGAGGAGACTTTAGCCTATCTAACTGAACAAGATAGTCAATTTCAATTTTTCTATGAAAATCATCAATTTCGCTGGGGCGGGAGTCCCTTAATCATTCACAGACAGAATATAACCGAACAAGTATGCGTCAGATCCCAGGTCAAAGAATCTTACTGTAAGATCCTATAAGATCCTTGTACGATTTCGTCGGATTCCGTAAGATTTATATAAGAATTTGTAAGATTCTATAAGAAACATAGAAACTGATTCTTGATGTAAGATCTTATAGTAAAATTTCATCTGATTTCGTAAGATGTTTCTATGAGTTTTATAAGATTTTATAAGATCGTGTAAGATCTTGATATGGTTTTTTGATATGGGATACACTATTTAATGACTTCTAGCAAGCATTACGTATGGTCTAGTATGGATATTCATTTTTAACAAACTATTATAGTCAGAGCTCAATTTACTATAATTTTCTTATACTTTCGCACATACTATATACTCACGTGTGCACACGAAAACAAATGCATGGGACGAAAGAAAACAAAGGACTTGAGTTAATGTGAGACAGCTCTCCATTTCTGAGAAAACAGATACTTCTTCTTGTTATATTAAACACCTTTGGGGAGCAAGAGAAGAATATATATCTATCAACAAACTGCCAAATTATTCACCTAAACAAACTAAGCTCTTAGTTATGATTCCTGCTAGAAGCAATTCTTTTTCTCAAAATTCATTTTATATCTATATGTGCATTACCATAAAATCGACTTTCTGTACGAAGGTTTTCAAGGCTCGACTTAATGTTTTTCCAGATGTCGAGCCTTGAAAACCTCCGTATAGAAAGTCGATTTTACGGTAGTAGAGCAGATATAAAAAGAAAATTGTTTTCAGCTAAAAAAGAACAAGCTACTACTATTACTAACTATTATTCTCATCATTGATGAGCTGTACGTGATATACTCACGATGACGATGTTGTTTCAGATAAAAAAATCAATTCCAGGTACTTAAATGATTAGAACCTAAAACATCATAGGGGATGGTAGACTCATGTTTTCCTGCACAGTATTTAATTGATGATCCAGGTATAGTATTTACTGATTGGTTATTGTTGTCAATCGAATACTTCGGCGGTGTTTTCTAATAAATAATCCTCAGATCCCTCAAGAGTAGTGGCGTAGCCACCACGTGTGCTTAGCCCACCTACTAAAAGTTTTACAATTCACACTACTCTGCGAAAATTTCTTATATTTCTAGCACTTTGAAAAAATTTGGGGCAACGCCCACCCACTAACAAAAAAGTTTGGGGCAACGCTCATCTACTAACAAAATCCTGACTACGCCAATACTCAAGAGGGTTGAAACGTTGGATGACGGTAAAAAACATTTCCCGCCCAAGGTAGTACGAAAATTATATTTTTCTGCTCTACAAAAAGAAGGCAGATTTTCATAAACTAGATGGTGTATATCCATCCACTATTTGGGCTTCTAACTAGTCCAAGAACTATTGATAATATATTTATAATACCGATTCTAGATCTAAGGTGCACTTTTCTTCAGTTTCGACGTGTTGTATGTATGAGAGCGGAGAAAGATTTCAAGGTTTTTCTCGAAAACGTCAGCGATCTACATATTACACCTAAGTTGGAGGCCAGACACATATACTACTGGTGATAGCAAAAGCAGCAGATCGGTACATACAAATAATTTTGACATCCCAAGATACTCAATTTTCTTCGAGACAAAGACAAATTTTGAAATTCGTTTATATCAACCGATGCATTTTTATATTTAATATAATACCTTTGTAATAAAAAAAGTTTATTGAACCGTATCAGAGACATTGAACGACAGACTGTAGCGCTAGAGGTCACGCTTGTGGGATTCAATATGACGAAAGTTGTTTTATGCTATTGATATATTTTAATTTGTTTTAAACTAAAATTTTACCATTCAGCCGAAATGTTATACATAAATAAAATATACATGAAAAGTTTGTTTGTTTGTTTATATTCGGTATGAAAAGACTGACAAATGATGGTGTCTTTTTCGCATCTACCAGAGTGAAGAAAGAACAGGCCACTTGTACATGAGTAGTGAGTCATATGCTCCAGGTGATTATCCCGTTGAAATAATAGGCCAAGATATTCTACAATTAAAATTTGTAGAATTATCTATCATCACCGTGAAACTAAGAGAAAATAGTGCCTGGTTCTAGAAATTTTAGTTGTAGAATAGCTCGACCGAGATAATAGTTCAATACAAGATAAATGACGGGCAGATGCGGTCGTCAAAACTGCTGGACAATTTACCTCTCGTACAAGATACCGAATTAATCAATCAAATTATAAAAAATTCACCTCATGTACATATCTCAAGCGTTTTGCATGGGTAAGAATTATGCGCATGGAAACAAATCTGATATACGTAAAGCTTCACTAGAGCATAGGCTGTTCCTAAACAACTATGTTCAATACAAGAGCGAAAATAAGCGAAATCACACTCAGTATGAAAATATTCGCACTTATATACAGCCAAGACTGTAAAACAAAATACTGATTCAAGAATTTTCAAGTGCTTGATTGCGAATTATAGGGACTTCATACAAGAGTCAAAAAATTTCAAGACGCTCAAAAGTTTTTGGACTTACGTTTTCTTACCAAGATCTTACTGAAAAATCCAGGAGTCAAGATCTTAATTCAAGAAACTCCACTAGGGATTATTTAACGAGACAAAATGACTCGTTTTTTCCGATGTTGTTATGCCTGATGCGTTCGCTACCCTTTGTTTATTTTAACTTCATGAACGGTATTAGAATTAGTTTTTAAAACAAACAATGATTTTCGTATAGATGGCCTTTCAGATGACATATGCATAACAATTCATAATGCTAAATTCAGTAAAAGTGGTACTGCTGAACTTTGTGATGAAAATGAAAATCCGATTCGTGTAAAAGAAATTATAAACTATTATATCAATTTATGTTGATATTGTGCACCACATCCATAAATTAGGGTTTATCACAGATTGACGTTAATTTTACAACGCATGCCGTTCATCTATCTGCGACTAGTACAAAAACAGCGAAGCTGAAATGAAATGAAACGTTCGAAGTATGAAAAACTATTTTTTCTCTTTTTAAACCGTTACCATGAATTGCTTTCACTTCTCTTTTTAGATCACTATTCCATTTCCTTTCGATGTCGAATATATACGTTAGTATCACGTCAGATTTCTATTAAAACAACGTCATGTGAATGAAAGTACATCAAGTAAACTCACGAGGGAACATTCCCAGATGCCCCGCTACGATTTCGTTCGTTCATGCATCATTCGATAGGGGGTCTCGAGTAGATAAAAAGGATATCGGCTGACGACTCTTTAAGACCCGGTTTTCTGGAAAACCAGTTTTTCAGAAACTCTAACAGAATAATCAGAACCTTTGTTAATGAGACATGATTGTAGCCCGCGAAATTCTCATAAAAATGAGACATCTCCCAGTTCTACATGACCTTTCTTTGCAAAGTTATAGAATTTACAAGAAAAGCCCTGAATGTTCAGTGTCAACTCAAAGCTGCAGAAATCAGAAGAAATTAATTTTGGGCTTTTCTTGTAAATTCTATAACTTTGCAAAGAAAGGTTATGTAGAGCTGGGAGATGTCTCATTTTTATGAGACTTTCGCGGGCTACAATCACGTCTCATTAACAAAGGTTCTGATTATTCTGTTAGAGTTTCTGAAAAACTGGTTTTCCAGAAAACCGAGTCTTAAAGAGTCGTCAGCCGATATCCTTTTAGGCTTTTTATCTACTCGAGACCCCCTCTCGAATGATGCATGAACGAACGAAATCGTAGCGGGGCATCTGGGAATATTCCCTCGTCAGATAAAATAAAATAGCACCAGTCGTTGGAAACTCTTCTACATTCTGAATATTTATATGTGTGCTCGCAATAAAGAACTACGCATCTTAAATATAGCCGTAAGATTTAGACATTACTAAAATATGTTTCTGTTCTCGTAAACGATAAATCAGTAAAGCCGTTTGCTCTCGTTTTATTATCGATTGAAAAAGCTGATACTGTTGTTATTCAAGATAGAATTGGTCATCTGATTGTTTACAAGATCTTTCGGATTTGAAATGCTTTTTTTCAAAAGTGTTTTCAGCTTTTCTTATTTTTGATACCGCGTAAAAATGATATTGCCAATGATTGGATAGATCTTCACGTAGTGCAGATAAGCGCTCCTACCAATATGAATGGGTTTTAGAATGATACTAGTCGTTTATCATTGGATGAAGCATTGTCTCGGTTTTATCAACCACCTGATTATTTCTCGCTCAATTATCGGTAATCATTTTGCTGTTCATGCTAAAGTAGTTTCAACGCAACTTACACGAATACGTATGAAAACGTTGTTTATTTGTCTAATTTATTCTTGACTGACTTTGTTCAATATATGAGCGATGAACGACAGTTATCCAATAAGCAATCAATTTCAGCACTACTTATTGGCGAATGCACGAACGCATTATTTTTCGATATTATTGATCAAGCCGTCGCCGTCGTTAATAATCTAAAAGACATACTCGATAAATTAAATATAATTTTGACATTGTAGAATACTGAGATGAATGTGAATGACTTTCATCGTATTCAGTTGATTACGTTTCATGCACTGGTACATTTGATACCGTACCCGATAGTTATAGTCTCCCCCCCCCCCCCCCCCCCCCAAAAAAACCCCGGACGGGAAAATTGGGTGGGGAGGGGTTTTAAAAAAAATATNGGGGTTTGGGGGGGGGGGGGGGGGGGGGGGGGGGGGGGGGGGGGTTGGTGGGTTGGGGTTTTTTTTGTGGGGGGGGGGGGGGGGAGAGGAGTATTGAAAATAAATTTAGTTCAACATTAGCGCACATTATTCCTCTAGAATCAATCATTACGTACATTATGTAATTACCTTTTGAAACATAAAGATGATATTTATTGTGTAGAAATGTTAAAATAAATGGAATATCTATTTAAATTTGCTGTACGATCTCGTGTCTTATATACTAAATGGAAAAATAAATGTTGAACAAACTCTGTTGGATCTATTAGATTACGTTTCTTTACTAAACTACTTTGAGTAGTTGATGATCAATACTTACAAACACAAGGCATTATACTCAAATTTTATCCATCGCTTGTATTTGAAATGATTTCTGAATAACTATTTAATCCCGTGACATTGAATGAGAATACAGCTTAGACCTATTTAAATTCGTTTTCGCTTAAAAATGATAGATTTTTTCTAATATGAAATATAAAATTTTTTTTGTATATATTTTCATGTTTCATGCTTCATTTAGAATATTTTTATGTTAACACAAAATGATAAAATTATTGCTTAGTGTCAGTAGAACGTAAATAATTTTTTTGAAAAACACAATTTAATGAGGTTCTTTTAAGAATATTCAGTTTAAATCATCGATCGAACTGCGCAAACATACACTTGAAAAAACTAGATGTATATTATTTGGTTTGATTATTGATGAACGTGGTTTTATTAGCATTCTTGAACAACATGGTACGGCGATAAAAAGAGAAGAATGCAGTTTTTTTATAGTGTATTAATATTATACTACTGAATAATATTCTATTGCGAAGACCTACTTCTTATCTGGACCTGGTGGAAAAAAAATGACAGGTAATAAATAAATAGAAGATACAAGTTAGAAAAACGATTTATCACAAAAAAACAGCTGCTACGGTGTTAATAAACATATTCAAGTAACAAATCACTTTACTGATCATATATGTGTTTACTTCTCAAATTCATATACAAAAAACATATTATTTTGGAAGCCATAGACAATCTTTAAAGACAGTATTTCGTGCTACATAGTATATTTATTGAATTGTTCTATCTGTCATCTTAGTGCGCGTATAACCTAATCAGTTGTGGACTATGTATCTTCAAATGTCGATTCAGTAAATCATTTTTTAGATATAAAAGATTAAAAAAAATAAATGGAATCTATTATCGATGATAAATTGAGTAAAATGTTAACAGATTGGTCGTCTCAGATAAAATCCTATTGTTTATTTGGCGAAAAATTTGATCAAAATGAACAGAAACAACCAGTGTACAGTAGAAAAAGAATATTAAAAGAATTTTTTACTTTAGAAGAACAAATACTCCGTATTTTAAATGACTATTCTCACTATGAAACACTACCTAAAAGTTTGTTCAATCTTGATTGGTTAGGTTCATTATTACTATTGTTACTTGAACATTCATCATTGACTTTTAATACTGATCATTTGATATCATCTTCATCCGGTTTTGACCATCATTTATCATCAACAGCAACCATTAATAATGAATTCGTTAAATCTATTGAGTATACACCAAATTTATCCTCAATATCTTGGTCATCCGAACAACTTCAACAATATTCATCAAAATTATTAGATTTATTATTTAAATTAATTCGTGTTAGTTCATTACAACAATTATTATTAGTTCATGTTTATTCAAATCAGAAACAAGATGAATTATTATTATCGGGTTGTTTTCATCTACTAACACCATTTCTAATGAAATCAAACTATGAAATCTATCCGGTGACATTTCATTGTTTTGTATTATTAGTACGTTCTATTTATCGTCCACTTGTATCCGATTATATTCATCACATATTTCCTGGATGTCTCATTGCTCTTGATGATTATCGTTTAGACATGAAAATAATTGGTTTATATTTATTAAATCATTTGTATGAGCAGTGTACATCAACTGATCTGACATTATTTAATCGTTCAAATGTTGTATCACATGCATTAGAACATAATTTACATGTTCGTCAAACACCATTTATTGAATATTTATTATTATTTTTATTTAAATGGTTATCATTAATTGAACCCGATATATATTGTAGTAAACATCAATATCAACATACATCACTTATCTTAGAACGTCTTATACAAGATACATTTCTTGAAACAACAATTAAATATCGTCAAATATTGATACATATTATTCAATTATACATTGAACGTTTACAATTATTTACTTGTCGACATTTAAAACAATTAATTGATCAAATCGATGATTGTATGGAAAATAGACAATTACGTTATATGGGACTCAAATTAATGAAAACAATTTTTCGAGAATTAACACCACGTATTAATACCCATCGAAATGAATTTATGAAAATAATTGTACGTTGCATATTCAAACATGTCCATGAACAAGACTATCTAACTCAGTCAACTACTGACAATGTAGATCAACTACTAATAACTTGTGCATGTGAATTAAATATTTATACTGATAATTATGTTATTGATGCGATTAAAACATTGATTAATGTCGAACAGTTAGAAGTACGTTATAGGGATAAATTAGATGATTTACTAATGAAAGTTGTTAAGTCAAAAGAGGAGTTCATTTGACTAAATTTTCAAATAAAAAAAGAAGAGAATCAATGAAAACTAAAGTATTTAAATTGAAAAACATATTGTTGCCAAAAGTTTTGTAAACATTATTTAAAAAGTTATATTAATTAATTTTTTTATAAATAGGTCAAACTAATAAGTAAGAAGTGCATCATTGTTGGGTGTTTAGGATGGTAACAGGAGTACTACACCTCTGTTTTCTGAAATATATTTACAATCAGTAATCTTAGAAGACATTGCTCAAAAGCATGCTGTTAACACTAGCAGTTCCGATGTATAAACTAGTACTTCATTGTAGCTACAACGAAGTACTGATTTCGGAAAACAACGTGAAAAACTGCTGCAATAACTTTTTAAGAGTGGAAATAACATCTCTTATCCCTGATGAAGGTATAATACGTTTCAGCTCAATTGTTAGAAAAGGTCAGCAGAAATAAGTGATTTGCTCGTCGTTCTGCATATCAATTTCTAAAACATAACATTTGCTGACGTCGTTATTTGTATACATGATATTTTTATGGGTTTAATTTTGTTATATTTCTAACTTAGCTTGGGCTGAAGACTTTCATGTTAATTAGAATGACGTTTGAAAAATGTTATTGGAAAATTTATTTGTCTATCTTTTGACTATAACAAATTTGTTTCTTGATATTATTGTTTTGGTAAACCTACTTTTGCCTTATTAGTTGACAAGCACAAGCAGAAAAGAAGTAAAAGTGGAGCAAAACACATAAAAAAATCTCAATTAAAAATGAAATTATTTCTATATGCACGTACTATGTTTGTTTTATGATTATTAATACTATAATTTTCTGTTACCTATTTAATGTCTCTCTCTTACTGTTTTTGTTAACTACCTGAAAAATATCTTACTGGCCTTTAATTTTTGTTCTCTCTCTCTCTCACTCTCTCTTAAAATTTCTTCTCATCTGTTAAAACACAATCGATCTTTAACTAAGGAGTACTTACAATTCTTTTCTCATTTTCGTTTATTCGTAAAATAAATTTTTTGTCGAGTGTTCATTGCTAAAAAGTAAATATTGTAGTAAAAATTGCAAAGAACTATTCATTATTCACGCTTTCTTTGTTTCGACATAACATATCTCTATATATTTTTCTTTGGTTCTATTTTTCTCTCACGCACATACAAAATTATAAAAATATATAGTGCCGTGTTGCACTGAATTAATTTACACTGTAAAAAGTTCTTTTTTGTTGCACACGTATACGTACGGGGGAAAAAAGGTACGCACCATACACAAAAAAGGAAAACTAAATCCGAAAATAATTTTAAAATCCAATCGTTTCACCAACAAACAACAAGTATGTAAATTATACATATTGCTCTGAGCATTTTAACTGCTGTACGTGGTATTCAGATGATGATGTTTTAAAGAATACAAATGGAAAGATTTCGGGCAAAAAGTCACAAAGATTAACTAAAAATAGCGTACCTTCAATATAAATCCTTAGAAGTCGTGATGACTCTATAAAAAGAGTAGACTAGAGCAGACCGGAAAAAGTATTGTGTATAGAATTTAACAATAGTACCCTAGAGAAGAAACTGATGGTGTAGATTAGACATTTCAGTCTTGTTGACTTACTTAATTACACTAAGATCACTCTACATCATTAATCATGATTAATTTCCATTGTGATCATAGCCTAATCGTGATTAATTTTATGCATGATTAAGTGATGATTAGCGTTAATCACGATTAAGTATAGTATAATGAGCTAATTGTGATTCATGAATACTGAGCAAATTTATATCATCGTCAAATATTTTATACATCGATTTCAGAAAACTCTGTATTTCTCTGATGTTGCAAAGCAAATCTCTCAATTTTTGTTAAAGAATTCAATAATGGTAAAACAACAACGTCATATCGCAAACTAAATAATGGTATTTTGAATATTAATAACAACTACTTTTTTTTCTGTTTAATAACATTCAGCAGGGTAATCACTTCAGCTCTACCAACAAAAAAAAATGAGCTGATTTTGACGCACTTTACTATTCTTTAATCACACGATTTGACTTTTAATCGTAATTAGCATGGTCACAATGTATTCTTCATTACAATAAAAAATAATTACAGTTACATTACAAACAAAATTGTTAATCACGCCCAACTTTATCCACAATTAATTTGAATCATGATTAATGCGGTAATGTGACAGAAGTGTTACACATTCACAATATGTTAGTCAAGCAGTTGAACCTTACGTTTAGTAAAAATAACCTACCAAACACCTATAATTTACTAAACTCTTAGAAGATAGATAGTTATTCAAGAATTTATCAAAAACGAGAATATATGCTCGAATTAATGCTAAAATCTTCTGTTGGCTTTAGCTATGCTTTTTATTTGAGAGATAAATAGTGTATTTAGTATACTATTCAATCTAATACGGTATGATCCTTACATAGCTGAATATTCTGCATTTATTGAACCCGTTCAGTTTTTGCATCTTATCTCACTTACAAAGTTCGTATAGTGAAAGGTTTACATTTTCAAACTGTGTTTTGTGTTTTTGAAAAACTGAATATTTTTGAAATTCTTTCAAAGAATGGGGTGAAATGTCCAGTAGAAATCAGTAATTCATCAATTTTTTCTCTTAAAATGTGGATCGATAGAGACGTCAATTTTATGTAATTCTCCATATTTTTTAAGCATTCGAAATGCATTTTGAAGGTGGCCAAAATGAA